CACGTCTGGAACGCAGTAAATGTGCATCAAAAACTCGATCCGAATGTCCAAATTTCGGAAAATTCATACGCATTTTGATTTAGAACAAAACGAATCGCAAATGTCTAGTGGTTTATCTAATGCTTATTTTACTTTTGAAGGTAAATAAAACAGATTAGCAGATTTTATTAATGCTGTTTTCTTCATCCCCGTCACCCAGCAAAAAAAGATATTCAGCATCCACGGTCCGTACCCCGTCATACGTCGCTGCCTGCGCAGCCGCGGGTGGGTGGAGAAGAAAATGCCCAAAGTCACCAAGGCGGCTCAGAAAAAAGAGAAGTCTTCAGATGAGGAGACCGAGGAGGATTATGGCGATGGGAGCAGCCGTGATGATTATGGTATTAAAAATGGTTTTCTTTATCTTTTTACCATTCAACAAGAGGACACATGATGAAGGAAGGAGATTTTTGGGAATGACCAGGATCCTTCCAGGAAGGACCAGGAAGATATGAAAGATAATAATATTTCCACAAACTCACCCTGACCATCTATACCAAATTGCCAGTGACTGTCCGGGGTTCTGGTAGATTTAATGATGATATTATGATTTTTTACCTAATTAGATGATGATGGTGAAGAGGAGGATGAAAAGGATGATGATCCTGATGGCATCTATGACCTTATGGTAACTATCTAAGTGCTCACTATGCCCTTTCCAGCGCAGCTCACGGACTTCCACATCACTGAACCTTCTCCACTGTCATTTAATCACAGTTACTGCTGACTCACTGTAGTATAAAGACTGGTCTAGTGTTACAGTGGTGATGGACGTTTAGCTGAAGACACTTAGCTGAAGACATTTAGCTGAAGCTTTGAGACATTGTTAATGATATGGCAGCTAAGGGTTTGGTCAGTTCATATTACGTTGAGTTATTCCATGTGCCTGCTTTTGAGTTGAGTATACTGGAAACCAAAATGGACTTTAAAGGACCACTCTACCTTTGGTACAAGTTGTCCTTGAAGGCATGTCCCAATCACCCTGAGTGCAGCCCACCTAGCCCAATAGTTAATTTCATCCCCGTTCCAGCGATCTTCATGGTAAAGCCTTGCCCAGACCTGCATGGTCACTCTTGCAAAAGCATCCTTTTCATCCGGCACATGCGCATTGTGGTTCCATTCTTTACTATGAGGAGAGCTGTACTGTACAGGACTGCTAGAGGCCGGGAATGAATCGACCACAGCATGCATGCGTAGGACGAAGAGGATCCGGCAGGTACAATTCTGAGCAGAGCCACAGAATGATTGCTGGGGAGGGAACAAAGGTTTGTAGTGGACTCATTGGGCTGCACTCAGTGGGTGGGGGCATGCCATAAGTATGAACATGTACAGTTATCCTTTAAGGTAAACATTGGAATAATGGCTTTAAATATGTTGTGACTGATATACAGTACATATGCATGGAATACATACATTCGTATACATTCCCAGAGAATTTATGTACAAGTCCTGAATTAAGAAAGCTAGTCGGTTAACCAACGAAACATCTTCAAGAAAAATACAGGAAGTCCAGTTGCCTTGATTCATTTTTCACAGATATACCATGACCTGGATGAATGAGAACCTTTACAGACATTCATATACATGGTTTTTCAGTGGTAGAAAAGGGTCCTCTAGCACCCAAGACAAAATGGCCAAAGTGCGCCCCCATGAGCTTTGAACTACTTCAGCGGCATAGGTTGCAGGCAGTGCAATTTTCTTACCATGCTCCTGCTCATGGTCCAAATGCAACCACCTCTTCTGCCTATCCCTCAGCCTGCCCTGTGGATTAGGCACCTATATATCATAGAAGAAAGGCCGTTGAGATGGAGATTAGAGGAGAAGAAGGGCTCCACAGTGGTTTTGCTAAGGGGCCCCATCTTAAATAGTTACGGCCTTGCTTTAAAGCCCTGTAATGGCGGTCTGACTTTCTTGGCACTACTTGAGAGAACAGAGGAGAGATCTGTAATCATGAAGGAAGGTGACACAGACATTAATGTTTTCATCCTGACCACACAGGTTCCTCTATTCCTGACTCATGCAAACCAATAAACAAGTGTTAGTTTTATTTACACTTCCCATTATTTATACAGCTCTGTCTGCATTATACACGCGTTCTGATTTCATTTTTATTTTATCTTAAATTAAGCTTATAAAAACAGTAACTCCTATTATCCATTGTGTGTCCTGCCTGCTCAGTCAAGGCTTGTTCGCAATGAAATCCCCTATTTTATCTGGGCAACCAGAAGTGACGCCGTGGACTGCCGCTTCCTGAAAAAGGACCAAATGATGAATCACTACGCCAGAGCTGGCTCCTTCACCACGAAGGTGGGTCCTGACCCCTCTGCTTTGTGTCCTAATGGGTACGTTGTACTGATGAAGACTTTGCTTATGTACTAAGCTAAAGTAACGTGTGATGACTGTATGCAAGTGCATTTTGTGGCCAACAGTAAGTCTTTATTCATTACGTCATCTGACAGCAAATTCCTGAAATCTGATTTGCTGCTAAGAAGGGCACTGCACACTTTTGTTGTATACATTTTTTTCGGAGATGGAAAAAAAGGGACACTTATAAAGCTGGCAGAGGACACGCTCCTGCAGGGACCATGAAGAATCCGTGGGATTGGTTAAGCCCAATGTTACTTTCTTAACTGCTACTTTTCCTTGCCCAAGCACTCATATAGAAGCTGTGGGGGAAGTTTAGTGCAATGGGACCCTTTTGTTAGATAAAGTGGGTAAGAGTGAAAGCTGGGGTACATGCAGAACGGGATCTGACACTCCAGGAAGTGTTGGATCCCTGAAACATACTGTACCTAATGTTAAAGAACCTTTGTTGCAGGCTGGAAGTAGATAATATTATCTCCTCCTGCAGGTGTAAAGATGAGGTCTGATGACCGGGCCTCTTTAAAAATGTTAAATGCTAAATGATATTTTAGCGATTGGGTTTATATATACGTTAGGTCTGTGCATCAGACCAAAAACATAGAGAAAGAGGACAAGGGACTGTTCCACCAAGTGAGGCAGTGTCATTGCACTTTGCATTGCCTTAATAACTAATACCAAATGGTTTATTTTGCAGGTGGGGCTGTGCGTCAATCTTAGGAACCTGCACTGGTTTGATGAAGCCGACCCCGATTCGTTTTTCCCTCGTTGCTACAGACTGGGGGCCAAAGATGAGAAGAAGGCATTTATTGGTGAGGTTTTTCGTCTCCTCTAATCTTTGTTCACACCAGCATGCCCGGAGCCCGTTCTCTATGGCCTTCGAGAGTCCATTCCACCTCTCCATGTCGAAAGGGCTTATCTCACCATTGCTGAGAACTTGAAGAGTGTTCACTTAACATTTTGCTGTCTTGAATGTTACCTGTAACTCCTTGCCAGACCTTGTAGACCCCTTTAAAGCTGTGCCCAAGCCTTACCTTTTTCCCTCACCTGTAGCAATCCGTTTCTGTGTTGAAATCAGTTACTCTCAATTCCCTGTGAAGTTGATTCTACACAATAAAACCCTTTGAAACTCCAGCAGCAATCTGAGCTCACCTTAATTTCCTGTCTAAATGACTTTTACCTTTGATCCATACTGTTGAGCTCCACCATTCATCAATCACTTCTTCCCCTGATATATACTATAGTTGGCCCCTTTACACAGCTTTTGGCTTTCTCTGCCATCCATTATTTTGTTCCCAAGCTCAGGGTTGGTATTCTATACATGCACTACACTTCAGCTTCAGCTAAGAAAACCAGGTGGAATATCTACAAGTCAAACACATGCTAAGAGGTTCCTGATTCCAGCATAATGCCTAGCTGCTATGATATTCATTGTCCCCTTAGATCACATGTGTCAAACTCAAGGCCCAGGGGCCGGATACCAGGCCATTTCCTAGACTTCTACTTTCAGATCTAGGTATTAAGTTATTACTAAAACCAGTGATAATCGAATGCAGAGGCAATTATGATAAATATTAGATACATTTATATAGTCTTACAGATACGTTTGGGGGCAACCATAGTGTTGGATCGGCCCACGATTAAATTGAGTTTGACACCCCTGTAGATGAAAACCAATGGCCAGTAAATTCATTCAGAGTCAGTCCTTAAGGGGGTGACCCCTTATGTATAGTAAGATGTGAGACACCGGCACTCCAATTGCAATTCTTAAACGTCTGTTTATTGATGTAAATGCAGCATAAATACCCTCTGTGCACCGTTTCGGGGTCTCAAAGGATCCCCTTCATCAGGCAGAACATCACTTGACGTTTATGAATTGCAATTGGAGTGCCGGTGTCTCACTTCTTACTTTGATCGGGGCGGTTGAGACAGCCATCGACAGCCTCCGCACCCTATTCTACTACTTGGAGAATACTATGGGTTCACTGACTTTACCCTTATTTATAGTGCCCCTTAGTTCCATTGCTAGGTCCAATGTCGGGATGTGTGGAACTAAAGGTCTGTTTTGCAGCACAAAACTAAATGTGACGCATGTATGTATGTACAGTATGTATATGTATAAGATTTATTATATTTACTCAATTACAAAAATATAAAATCACAACACTTTCACCTTAAAGTTTCAGTTTGTCACAATAAATATGTCCATTTTCAACCTTTAGAGGATTTCTGGCTGACGGCTGCTCGGAGTATTCTCAAGAGGGTGTCGGGGAGAGGAAGGACCTTGGCCGCAGATATAGAGATCTATGCATTGGCCCAAGAGAATGTAACTAATCCAAAGAATAAACAAGGTAAAAACAAATCCTGTGGCCAGGTTGACATTGCACTGATTTAAAGTGAACCTGTCACAAGATATAAAAGAAACTTAGAAAGAGATAAAAACAAAGAAAATGTACAATAAGTGTTTTTTCTGTCTTTTGTCTGAGGATAAACCTGTGTTCATCCCAAGAATGTTTACATTGACTCTGTAATGAGAAATGTAAGAGGCTGCCATTGTTGGCGCTCATTTAAATTTGTAGTTCCCTGGCTATGCCTGGTTTCAGTACATTTGAGTCCCCGTCCTGGAACAAACATGATGTAAAATAATACTTGTTTCAGGCCAGTAAATCAGAAATGATTGAAGTCAAAGAAACAGTCAGCAATGGGATCCCACATACTTTTCTCATAACAAAGTCACTTTAAGCACACTTATAGTTGAAAGTCTCAATTTGCCATTCAAAGGTATATTACAACTTTTGCAAAAAAATAATAAATGCAGCCACATTGATGAAAGAAAAAAAATGTGCATTTGTTAATTATTTTGCATTGGAGCCTGCAAAGCATTGCAATGGATCAGTGGATTGTGGGTGCAATGCACAGGCTCCTGCAGACGGTTCTTCCAGCCCCAGGTTCATAGCAAGGTACAGGCTTTGCATTATGGGAGATGGAGCAAGTAATCAATGGAATACAAGCCTGGTGACATCACTGCACTTGTGTTCAATTGGGATCTACGAGTCCCTTTGCAACGTTGTCAGATTGTTTTTTTTAAGTTGGGTATACACATACATATTTTCTTCATCCAACCTATGGGCTGAATGAAAAAAAATATAACAGATTCCCCTGCTGTTTGCATTACATTCTGACAGCCTGCCGACTGCTGGTAGAGTACCCAAATGGAGCTTTCAAGCTCCGTTCTGGCCAAACTACAACTACTCCATCTCCATTAGGCCACAGGACGGTATTTGCTCAGCAGTGCACATATATTTCTATACTTTCTATGGACCTCTGACGTGCTATAGGTAAACCAGGCCCATTGAGGTGACCACTATTAGCACAAACTGAAGAAAAAAAAATATCCTTTTGCCAATAGCAACCAATCACAGGTTAGAAAAAGAAAGGAGGAAATTGGTTGAATGTTGTTGTTCACACCGCTGTACTTCCAACCCATACTTGTATTCCTCCAGTTTTCTTCCTGTCCGCAGATGCCAAAAGAACAAGTAAAAAACATGGAGGTCGCGTGCCTGCTCAGGTGATCACTACCGCCATCGAGGCTTGTGAGGCCTACCTGAACAGCTTGGAGCACGCTGACATCGACGTGAAAACGTGCAACGCTTCCGCTGTGACAAATGCATCGTGGGAAGAATTCCTGCGTCATTACTATCAGGTCATCCAGTAAGTGAACATGCAAATAATACAGATGTACTTGGAAAACCCATAATCATTAGGATGATAATACAAATTCAGTGGAAACCTGTACTAAGAGGAATATAGAAGCTACCTGGCTGTCTCTGCTTCAGTACTGTCTGATTTGGGCCCCATTCACATGGGGACTTATGCTGTATTTTGGGGTTTCTGCAGCAAGAACCAATGAATTCTTGTGGCAGGAATCCCAGGTGTCCCCATTCTGATGCGGCTGCTGTACCCATTGATGTTAATGACAGGGTGACAATGGATGCATCTTCGGGATAGATGATTGTCCCTGTATGCAGGATAGAGGCGTCCAGCAACAATCATCTATCCCAAACCACATGTAATCGTACAATGTATGACACGGACTGCTGCTGACAGATGCAGACACTGCCACCCTGTTAGTAACTTCAATAGATACAGAAGCCACATGTTAACTGGGAAACCTGACATTCCTGTTGAAGGAATCCATAGGTTCTTGCCGCAGGAATCTCAGAACACCCCGTGTGAATGTAGACTTACTGACCCAAAGCAAGCATGAGGCCAGTAAAGTCACAGAGAAGCCAGAACACCCAAACTGCATTGGAATAGCATGGCTGCCAGGGAACTAGCAATATCAGCAGCAGTGGTCAGCAATGGCAGTCTACGTGTTAAAAAAAAAAATAAGATCACCAGCGCTCTTCAGATTGCGGGACTTACATGAAACTACAATTAAGGGGGAGAAATGCGTCAGTTGGTAAAAGCAGGTTAGGGTGTCTCTGAAGAAGGTAACAAGATTCAATGTTAGGTTGCACTTGGAGTGTGAAGCTGTGCAGGGAAGGGGGAGCAGACTCATTGAACCAGCAATATGTATTGGCTTATAAGAACCTCTCTTTGTTTTATTGCAGTGATGGAGCTGTGATAGATCAATCGTCCTCCTATATGGATCAATGCGATCGTGTATTGAGTCGATTGGCAGAAGTGAACCCTCAGCTGGACATTGAAGGAGACAGAAATATCTGGATTGTTAAGCCGGGCGCCAAATCCAGAGGCAGAGGTGAGAGAACAACACGGCCTCATGTCTTGTCATACCTCGTTTTATCTGGAACTTTGGTTTTCTCTGCCCGGGTGTTTACAACAAAAGGGTCAACCCACCTAAAACGAATCTTTCAGTTATGAATGGAGACTGATTGATGCTGCAGTCTCTGCCCTTACCTCCTATTGCTTCAGATGTTATATAACCCTTCTGCCTTGCAGTACTGGGGGTCCCTGCTTTGAATCCCGGCCAGGTCACTATCTGCAAGGAGTTTGCATGTTCTCCCTGTGCTAGGGTGGGTTTCCTCCGGGTACTCCGGTTCCCTCCCACACTTCAAAGACATGCTGGAAGAGTAATTGGCTCCGGTCTAAATTGGCCCTGTATGTACGCATGTGAGATGGGACCAAAGATTGTAAGCTCCTTGAGAGTAGGAACTGATGTGAATGTGCACTATGTAAAGCGCTGTGTAAATTGTCAGCGCTATATAAATACCAATAATAAATAAACCAGTCAAGAGTCTCACTTCACCTGCCGTGTTCTCTGTATGAAGTGGTAAGTGTGGGAAAGGTCAGAGCAGGTAAGCAGAGCTGGGAATTGCTGAAGACTGGGAGAGGTAGAACAAAGCAGGGGGTCGGTGGTGGGGCATATTGCATTGCAAGGGTTATAACCTCTGTCAGTATTGTATTGCAGTGTCAGTCTGTGTTGGGGAGATTTCTCATTTCCTGTGTGGTCACATAGACAGCAGATCCTTTCAATGGCAACAGGGACAGCAGTGAAAATCTGACATGGGTTTTCTTTTCATGATTTTTTTGATTTCTCATATTTTATGGCACTAAAATATTTTATGTTGGCCCTCGCAGACCCTGAAAAGGTATTTTTTTTGCATCGTTAGTGTTTACATACAATTTAAACACACACATATACTGTATATGCACACACAACATGCAGTACACACATCTACATGAATTTCTAAATCGCATTCAGGATATCTATCTTATGGAGGACCTCACAAACTCAATATCTACAAAATACACATCATTCTCAAGTACTTGGCTTCCTTGGATGGAATTTGTGAAGTCACCTGAATATCTCACTTTTGGAGTGTAGCCCAAAACACGACAGAAATTGGGGGCTTTTCCATAGTTAGTTTTGATTTAATGTCATTTACTTCCCCTTAAGTACTCTTTTCCTCCACCCCTAATCCCCTTTACATAGACCTTATCTCTCTTTGCCAAGGGTTAACATATTTCATGGCCCCCTTCTCACCCCCCTCGTCTTTATTTGTCCAACATTCTCCCGAACATATGTGTCTCTTGGACTATATTCTGTCCGCATATTATTTGTGATAATAACCATGAGATGCCACTGACGATTTAAATGACAGCATGGGTAGCCCAGGATTTGGGATTATTGCCCTAAATTTGCTTTTTGCTTTGAAAAACACTGATTCGATTTTCTTGTTATTTACATGCAAAAAATGTAATCTGTACACCTTTCTGCACTGTTTCCCCCACTGATTTTGTAAAACCTTTGAAAATTTGAAAATAAAGAATTTATAAAAAATGATGAGCACACACACCAACATGCAGTACAGACACCTACATGAGTGGATCAATGATGAGCACACACACCTACATGCAGTACACACACCTACATGAGTGGATCAGTGATGAGCAAGCACACACACACACACACAACATGCAGTACACACACCTACATGAGTGGATCAGTGATGAGCACACACACCTACATGAGTGGATCAGTGATGAGCACACACATCTACATGAGTGGATCAGTGATGAGCACACACACAACATGCAGTACACACTAGACATGTGCGATTCGTTTCGTTCCGAATCGAAATTCGGACGAATTTTCGGAAATTCGGATGTATCCGAATTCCGAATTACAGACATAACGAATGCAAACGAATCCGAATTTCCATTTCCGAAATTCGGTAGAGTTAGTACGAACGTTCGTTTCTTATTCGTTTCTTATTCGTTTCGTTCGTTGGAGCAAAGTGACATTAGAGAAGGAGAAAAATATTTTTTCCCCCTCAAATGTCACTTTTGCTGCAAACAAACGAACGAAACGAATAAGAAACGAATAAGAACAGAAAACGAAACGAACGTTCGTACTAACGCTACCGAATTTCGTCCGAATCCGAATTCCGAATCCGAATTGACTTTCACACCCGAATCCTGAAAAACGAAATAACACAAATCCGAATTTAAAACGAAACGAAACTAAACAAATTTTTTGGCAGTGCACATGTCTAGTACACACACCTACATGAGTGGATCAGTCATGAGCACACACACCTACATGAGTGGATCAGTGATGAGCACACACACCTACATGAGTGGATCAGTGATGAGCACACACACACACACAACATGCAGTACACACACCTACATGAGTGGATCAGTGATGAGCACACACATCTACATGAGTGGATGAGTGATGAGCACACACACAACAACATGCAGTACACACACTTACATGAGTGGATCAGTGATAAGCACACACACAACATGCAGCACACACACCTACATGAGTGGATCAGTGATGAGCACACACACAACATGTAGTACACACACCTACATGAGTGGATCAGTGATGAGACTACCTCTCTGTTTTGGGTGATATGAAGGACACAGGAACACCTGGAGGAAAACTGCAAACACTGGGAGTACATACAGACTCCATGTAGATGGGAACTGATTGAACTGAACCTGAGACCCCAGCACTGCATGGGAGAATATCATTGTTTTTGCTCTGTACCTCGCACAGGTATAATCTGTATGGATCGGCTGGAGGAAATCCTGAAGTTGGTGGACTGCGATCCCATGATCGTTAAGGATGGCAAATGGGTGGTGCAGAAATACATCGAGAGACCGCTGCTCATCTTTGGCACAAAATTTGATGTCCGCCAGTGGTTCCTGGTGACGGACTGGAATCCGCTGACCATTTGGTTTTACCAGGAGTGTTATGTCCGCTTCTCAACCCAACCGTTCTCCCTGGAGAATCTAGACATGTAGGTTAGGTTGAAGCTTTATAGAAACTTGCTGTTTATAAGACACCTCTGTCCATACTGTGGTGGAATTTTGTCCAGGTCCTGCTCACTCAGCTGACATTTGAGCAGTGTGTGGCCCAGTTGGCACTCCTCCCTTCCACAAAAGTCGATTTTTCAGTTGACTTTTGTTGAAGGAGCCAGTCTGAAATTTAAGCTGAACAGTGAGTGCTGCCAAACCCAAACAATAGCCCATTGGAGAGGGTTTTCACATACAACAGGGTATAGCCAGCTTTATGCCTTTTGGTTGCTCATCTTTGGAATGGCTATAATTCTGGGGCTGTGAAAAAGCAGGCTAGTTGGTTCCATGGTTCCTGGGCTTCCCTCCTTCCCAGCCTTTAATACATACTGAATAATAAGGTGGAGGTTGAGCAGAAGTGAGAAGTCTTCTAAACCTGCCTGCATTGGATGTCTTTCTGACATCCATGTCTCGACCACTAAGCCTGGCCATCAGGGCTGGATAGCCAGCGAGCCAATGGAGGGCATGACTTATGGCGGTAAGGTTGCCAGGGTCATCATATTACTTTGAACACTTCATGTTGAACACATGTATAATAAAAGGTTCCAGACTGCTGCCCTGCCTGCCAATGCAGTGTGAATCTTTGACTGGTGTGGGTGTGTGTAGTAAAATCTTGGTGATCTAAAGGTTGCCACACACCTGCCAATTATCGTACGATAATTGCAGGAAATCCCACAATCGTACGATAATTGGCAGGTGTATGGAAGGCGTGCGACCGTTTCTACTGTACGGTCGCACGTCTTTTGTCTTACGGGCACATTGGAAAACCAGCCGCAAATGGTAAGATTTTCTGCGGGTTTGTGGCGTGCTCGTAAGACAAATGCCGCAAGCGCTCACTGCCCGCTCAGCATTGCAGTCATCGGAAGCCCTCCCCTCAGTGAGGCCCGGCTTGCGATGATCGCAAGTACGATCTGCCTGTCCAAGATGGGCAAATCGTACGAGCTCTTAATTACCTTACAACCATCTCAAGACGAAAGTCGTGCGATGGTTGTAAGGTGTGTGGCCAGCTTGAGACTGTATATCAGATCACATGGACAAATGAATGATTCGGAAGACAGAACCCCCCCCCCCCCCAGATTGATGGAACCACCTTAAATGCCAGTTGTAGCTTCCATATTTATTACTGTAATGTAGCCAAGCTGCATATATAGTAATACGTACATTTGTTTTTACTTACTGGACCAGGGACACAATTCCCTATGTTAGCAGCATGCTAGAGAGTCAGAACACTGCTCAGCACAGCAGCCTGGGCCTCCCATGGTCCAACACGTCCAGTGCTACAATCAGCAGCGTTCATACTCTCTAGCAGGCTGTTAAAGGAAGTGAGAAAATAATGGATCTACTGGTAGGATGTACAGGTAATACCACTTCATACGGACTCAGAAAAACAAAGACTGCTGTGTTAATGCTACTAAGAGACTCCATCCTATAGTATGTATCGTTTTGGATTTTGCCCATAGTTCTGCCATAATCATTACTATATTCATATGTGGGGACGACCCGGAATATTTTCAATATAAGATTCATAACAGTCTAATTTGATTCCCTTAGCGCCATCCACTTATGCAACAACTCCATTCAGAAGAATTTTGAGAACTCCCGCCATCGCCACCCTCAGGTGCCACTCGACAACATGTGGTCCAGTGACCAGTTCCAGGCCCATCTTCAGGGGCTGGGGGAAAGACATACCTGGTCCGACATCATCGTCCCAGGTATGAAAGCCGCTATCATACACGCCATGCAGAGCACTCAGGATATCGTGGAGTTCAGGAAAAGCAGCTTTGAACTGTACGGGGCCGACTTCATGTTCGGAGAGGACTTCCATCCCTGGCTGATTGAGATCAATGCCAGTCCAACTATGGCCCCTTCAACGCCAGTGACCACAAGACTGTGCGCCAGCGTTCAAGAGGACACCTTACGCATAGTCCTAGATCGGAAGCATGATCGCAACTGTGATGTCGGTGGCTTTGAGCTCATCTATAAACAGGTACAGATAATCTATCTAAATGAGAAACCCGAAATTCTAATGTTCAAATTCTAATGTATAGAGGACAGAATTTATTGAAACATCCAAAGCTGGTGACATACATAACGGTCCCCAACTCCACAGAGCTCTCTCTATTGCTGTAGTCAAACCTTTAATAATAGCAGCAAGACATCATTTTTGTATTTACTCCCAGGCATTGCTAGGCCATCTGGGAAGTATAAACCTATGAGTGAGTTTTTGGTCTGCCTTAGAGTGTCCTACCCTCTAGTGTTGTCTGTTTCATTGTGTCCTCCCCAGTAGCATTGACTGTCTCGGGGTGTCCTTCCCAGTAGCATTGACTGTCTCGGGGTGTCCTTCCCAGTAGAGTTGACTGTCTCCGGGTGTCGTCCCCAGTAGAGATGACTGTCTCAGAGTGTCCGTCCCAGTAGAGTTGACTGTCCCAGGCTGCACTCTGCAGTAGCATTGACTGTCTCAGGGTGTCCTCCCCAGTAGAGTTGACTGTCTCAGGGTGTCCTACCCAGTAGAGTTGACTGTCTCAGGGTGTCCTCTGAAGTAGCATTGACTGTCTTAGGGTGTCCTCCCCAGTAGAGTGGACTAGTAGTTGCCTGGTAAAGCTCTATATAATAACCCGACCACCGCAGTCATAAATGAAAGGTAGATAATACTTCTGAAAGGTGTCAAAAACATCAAAGTTCCCTTTTAATAAGTTGACCTTGCACTACCCAAGACCAGCGATGAAGAACGTTGGTAAAATCTTGGTTGTATTACAGGCTGCAGTGGATGTTCCTCAGTACGTCGGGATAAGTCTGCTAGTGGAAGGAGCCATGGTGAAAAAGCCACGTGTTCCTCACCCAAGACAACCCACTTACCTTGTCAACCCGGGCATCACTCATCTGATCAACCACCCAAGATCCCTCTCCATGGTGCAAGCCAAGGTGTCAACTGCAACAAGCTTTTCTGGGGCTCATGATACCAAACACCCCCCCGCCATCCCATATTCAACACGCAAAAGAATTCGCCGTACAAAAACTCCACACCACTTGAGCAGGGCAAAGACCACGTCCGCCGGGAAAGAAAACAAAGCGACGACAGAAGCTCGGTGCGGATCAGAGTGTGTGGAGTTGGTGAGACTTTCTGACAAGCTCAGTGTTGATCACAAGGACGCCAAATCTCTCGGGCACGGGGTAAGCACGGCAAGAGTCACACAGCTCCACCAACGTTTGCTTGCCACCCCTAAGCTGTGTCTTTCGGAAAAGCCTCTTTTAGCAAAACACCTGATTGGACAGAGTGACGCGCCACGTCTGGATCTGAAGTTTACAAGCCTTGACTCAGGAGAGATACAGCTTCTTAAGAAGGCGTCCAGGGCAGGTAAAGAGATCCGTTGTTTAGAAAACTTACATTCATCAATTTGTTTCTTGAGAAAGTGAGAGTTTAATTGCATTTCCTCTGACTGGTCACATATTTTTTTTTAAATAGAACGCGATTAATGACAACAGCCTATTTATATTGTGTGTGACAGTTACCTAAGGGCCATGGTAAAGTCAGCATCTCCAATCTACTTCCATGCACTGCCAACGTCTATGGAAAGATATATCCCTGACCTGTTTTACTTATATGAAGCGTCTACACCGGGGGTCGGCAACCTCTGCACTCCAGCTGTTATGGAACTTCAAGTCCCATGAGGCATTGCAAGACTCTGACAGCCACCGACATGACTCCTGGAGGCAGAGGCATGGTGGAATGTGTAGTTTAACCACAGCTAGAGGTTGCCTACTGCTGGTCAACACCCTGTGTGGGCCCAGGTGAGGTCATCTTGCCGGAGTTCCCATTTTCTGTTTGGATCACAAGATGACAGCTTCTGATAGGGGGGTGTCAGGCATGTGATGAGGGAAGGAAGCAGGGCCTTTGACTCAGAGTGAAGATGACCCACTGGCGGAACTACCAGGGTCGCGTGTGGCCCAGAGAGAAGAAGAGGGCCCGCAGCTGCCTGCTGCCCGCGGTGTTTGACACTTGTGGAGGGTGGACCGCGGTAGCAGGGGGTTTGGACTGTCGGGGAACTCCAATTCCCAGCAGGCAATTCTGAATTGAGAAAGCTGGTCGCATGACCAGTGAAACGGCTTACAGCAAAAAATTACAGCAAGTCCAGTTGCCTTGACTATTTTTTTACAGATAGACCACGACCTGGATGAATGAGAACCTTCACAGACATGAATTAAATTGCTCACCTCTACAGGCTGGTATGACCTCATGATTTATAAACGCAGCATAAGTCAACCAGCAGCGGCTCCATGGATGGAAAAAAAACAACTCCTAGTAGAAAAGTCTTGATTCAGAGGAGCTAAAGAAAAAAAAATTCCTTCCTCCTTAGGACACTAAAGTAAACTGAGCACTCTAGATAGGGGTGGAGTTATATACCTATAATGGACTGAGCCCGTGTACTTTGTTTGGTGTCCTGTAGGTGGCAGTATAACCGCGGTATGGAATTTAGCGCTGTGTCCCTCAATGAACATAAGAAAACAATGGCTGGTATTTCCTTTCTATGTTGTTACTAACCTTCTCTATCATGCAGGACTCGACCTCCATCGGATGCCCTGCCTGTTCTGTAAGGGAGTCTCCTCTCTGCCAGCCTCATGCAGCTGTTCTAAGAGCTGCAAGCTTCCCCCTAAAGCCATCCGCTTCCAGCTATCCAAGGGGACGCACCTCAACAAGTTCCAAGCAGGAGCAGAACCGCTGTCGGCCCGGGGAACCGCCATCATCACATCTCTGCTGCTGTGAACCTCGTCTGTCGGGTCACACACCGACCTTTTGTTTTCTTGTCATCTTATAAATGAGAAAGCCTCCAGAGGTCGGTGACATCACTTTATACTTCACAGTGACATCATATTTTCATTTTATTTAGGTGACGGAGTCTCTTTAAAGTATACCTGTCCTGTCACCAGCTCCGGCAGAAACCTTACAAATGCAGACTAGACAGTACCAGATGCTGACTGGTATCTATTCAAGTGAGAATCCGTTGCTGCAGGGCGGTTCCCTGAAACCCGGAATATGCAAATACTGACTTTTGGAAAAAGTCAGCAGCTAGGACCACTTCCTGTATCTCCATATATAGTGGCAATGCAACCTGCATTGCATTGTGGGATACCTGGTGTTGTTCTCAACAATTGGAAGACTGCAGGCCACTGAGTGTTAGGGGCTCTGCAGTGACAGACTCATGTGACCCATCAGAACCTGGCGCTGTCTAATCAGTAAACGTCATTATATCACTTAGGGGGGGTGACAGGTCTGCTTTAAAGGAGCATAGAGGCCGCCATTGTTGACAGATCCCTCTGAAAATGATGGCCGCCTGGCTGTCTCTCGCCTCCCTATTGCGTGACCTGGAAAATCTCTGAATTGTTCCTCATCTACATACTTGATCCGGAGCCAGTACCCAGCACCCCCAAAAATAAGACTGCACTGGGATCTGACGCATCCAATGTCTTCATCAGGCCTGGGGCCCCGGGTGTGTGGCCCCTTCCACAGTTTCAATGGTGCTACCTTCATTGGGCTTTACAGTGTATTTTCAAAAAACATATTTAGTACATCTCTGCCATGCGCGCCCAAAACTCAGGTTTTACCCTTTTATAATGCTGCAAGTACAGAGAAACGGCGATGGAACCTGCGTCCGCCGCACCGGCATGCCAAGCAGCAACGCCAACCTTGCCCATTTCCCTTCCGCTGAACTACAAAACTATTTTTCCTTTCATTTCTTTAGCCTAGCAGAGAAGCACTCGGGGCTGACAACACTGCTTTGGATTTCAGCCTGTGTTGTCACAAGACTAAAGGAAGTTAGGAGTATACAGGATGTCTCGCATGGGATGTATAAAGGGAACATAACAGGAAGTGTGATGGGATTGCAGAGACGTACTGAATACAATGTTTTATCGCGGCCAGACCGACATTTTAAAGACTTCCCAAAACCTTTCAGGATACAGACAGTTCTCCAACGCCAGGGGCCCATTTCTGAGGCTCCTAGAGGCAACAAATGGTGCAATCCCTGCGCTTCATCACATCACATGGTGCAATCCCTGCGCTTCATCACATCACATGGTGCAATCCCTGCGCTTCATCACATCACATGGTGCAATCCCTGCGCTTCATCACATCAAATGGTGCAATCCCTGCGCTTCATCACATCAAATGGTGCAATCCCTGCGCTTCATCACATCACATGGTGCAATCCCTGCGCTTCATCACATCACATGGTGCAATCCCTGCGCTTCATCACATCACATGGTGCAATCCCTGCGCTTCATCACATCAAATAGTGCAATCCCTGCGCTTCATCACATCAAATGGAGCAATCCGTGCGCTTCATCACATCACATGGTGCAATCCCTGCGCTTCATCACATCACATGGTGCAATCCCTGCGCTTCATCACATGGTGCAATCCCTGCTCTTCATCACATCAAATGGTGCAATCCCTGCGCTTCATCACATCACATGGTGCAATCCCTGCGCTTCATCACATCAAATGGTGCAATCCCTGCGTTTCATCACATCACATGGTGCAATCCCTGCGCTTCATCAAATGTGCAACTGTGCTATTTATTGTCACCGGTGATTGCTAAAACTGGAACACTGACAGCGACCGCACAGAAATGTTTCTCATCTCTCACCATCTACATTCACCTCCCTGCAGAAATGTCCCAGCTCTGTGCGAATAAAGTTTTCTAACTATTTATAGTGTTTTCTTATTGCCGTTCCGTATTCCGTAGTGCCGTTCTGCATTGCTGTATAATGTATTGCTGAGATTTGTAGTCCTCTATAGCTGGTTGTATTCTGCATTGCTGTATAATGCTGGGATTTGTAATCCTCTATAGTTGGTGGTATTCTGCTGCTGTGTATGGAAGGCGTGCGACCTCGATGATCGCATAGTTGGTGGTATTCTGCATTGCTGAGATTTGTAGTCCTCTATAGCTGGTTGTATTCTGCATTGCTGTATAATGCTGGGATTTGTAATCCTCTATAGTTGGTGGTATTCTGCTGCTGTGTAATGTATTGCTGGGATTTGTAGTCCCCTATAGCTGGTGGTATTCTGCATTGTTATATAATTATATATTGCTGAGGTTAGTAGTCCCTCAGTAGTAGAACGACCAGGGTTGCAGCGGTTGCAGCTGGCACCGGGCGCTGGCGCTCCACCACTGTCCTGAAATCATTAGTCTGCATTGCTTTAGAAAAACTGTCACATGACACTAAATAATAGATATCGGTAATTGGTATCGGTGAGTACTTGAGGAAAAGTATCGGTACTCGGTCTGGAAAAAATGGTATCGGTGCATCTCTAGCATATTATTTGATCATCCTGCCAATAGATCCATTCCCCCCGCTTCCTTATTAGGGTGACAACACTGTTCCTTGTGCAGTGAGGTCACATAGAAGCGTTGTCACCCTGTGGACAGGGCATTACATATGTAATTTTTTTGTATCTTGCCCTGAGTTACCCTTAATGTTGCCAGCACATCAAACTGAGGCCACCGTTAGAAATGTCAAAGTTTTATTGTTACATATTAAAAATACAAATAACTTTTAACATCTTTATGACAGCGTAACGCACATACGTGTCAGCACGGCGGGTGGTCCTCATTGCCTAGCTGCCACATATATGTGTGTGTTCTTGAGCCTGTGACAAGTAGCGCTCGGTCAACTGCCAATGATCGGGAGCCGGCAGGGCGGGCTCATGATTACATCATCACTGTGCAGCCAATCACAGCGCATGAATGAATGGGAGGCCCTCCTACCAGCCTCTGATGTCACAGCCCACTTAAAGGGCCGTCTCCCGGAGGGTTTAAGAACTGAGCACCTGTCCTTTTATGTTGCATTGGTGACCCCGGCGATGAGGCTACAGATGTACTAACCACATCCTGCCGGGAGCTACCGCCAGACGTCCCCGGTGACCTCAGCAAGCGCTCAGACAATCCTTCGGTATCCGTGTGCCTGTGAAACCACGCTTGCTGCGAGCAGGTTAGTCTTGCATCCTAAGTCCCAGGAGTTCCATTGTGCGCCGGAAGAAGGGCGGGGGCGGAGCCTGGAGACGTGTAGGGTACCGCCCCGGAGGATCTGATGGCATCGAGAGCTGGTGCAGGTGGAGGTGGAGAGGCATCCGGTGCATCTGCTGGGTGGTAAAATGCATCTTACGGAGAATCTTCTCTTCTACCCGCTGGACAAGGAGACAGAAACGCGTCAGTTTGTTGTCACCCGACAGTAAAAACTTTCCTCGCTTTGGATACGGCGGTAGATCGTCCAATCAGATTGCAGCATGAACGGTGAGGCCCAAGGGGGCGCCACACACGTCACAATCTGACCGTACAATCTATCGTCGGTTTACCAAACCCATGTAATACAAGGAACAACCGATCCGATCCATCTGTGTTCACACACGCAGATACAAGACACAGATGATAGGAATTGTACGACCTGCTACAGGATTTATATGTCTGTCCATCCACTCCTGCAACTTACACAGCTCTGCCACATAGCCCTGTCTGGTACAGCAGGGAGACCTGAATTTTCTCTGCTGCAGGTAACACATCTTCTGGTCTTCTCCCCCCCCCCCAGCCTGTGACTGGACAGCGAAAGGAGAAGCAGCACAGGGATGAGCTCATCTCTCTGTCACTCTGCTCTCTCCTCCTATCTGCATGCTCCTTGTAAGCACAGTGAAAGGAGACGCAGTGCAATGATCAGCTTATCTCTCTGCTCTCTCCTCCTCTCAGAATGCTCCTTGTTAGCACAGTGAACAGAAAAGTAGCACAGTGATGAGCTCATCTCTCTCGGTCACTCTGCTCTCTCCTCCTATCAGCATGAGAAACGGAGAGCGGTAGGTACCTTCTGTCCCAAGACATAATGCGCACTGGAAAGTGACGGGAACCAACCTGAGTCTGTGGAAGAGCCACATCGAAGGGAATGTAAATGTCGTGTCCAAAGGTCTTGGCTACCCGCGAGCTGTACGTGTGGTCCCCGAGTACCGGGCAGAACTTCAGGGTGCAGTGAACCAGCAGCTGGTCCCGAAAGACTGAAAAGAGAATGAGGAAAAGAGATGCCGATCAATGCCGATGTCACGTGGTCTGCACGATACTTCCTGCGGCGGGCTTCCCATTGGCCCCTCATCTGTGAAATGTGTGCCGGGACGGCCACTTGTGGTCTCCATTTCATTTACATCATTTCCTGCTGATCCCGCCCTGAAAGTTCTTGTTCACTCACTTCCTGTTAAAGGGTGACAACGCTGTCTCCCGAATGTGGTCCTGCGTTGTCACCCTTAAACAGGAAGTGACTGAACAGGAACCGTCATGGCCGGAATTAGTTGAATGAAAAAGGCTGAAAATGATATGAACATATCGGTGATTGGCTTCACATATACTATGGCAGAGGCAGGCAGGCTTGTTCTCCGGCTGCTGTGGAACTACAAGTCCCATGAGGCATTGCAAGACTCATGACAGCCAATGGCATGACTCCCAGAGGCGAAGGCATGATGGGATTTGTATTCTTACCACAGCTGGAGGTCCGCGATTCGCCTACCCCCTGCAACAGAACAATTTAAAGCAGGGGTAGGGAACTTAGGCACTCCAGCTGTTGTGGAACTACAAGTCCCATGAGGCATTGCAAGACTCTGACAGCCACAGGCGTGACTCTCAGAGACAGAGGCATGTTGGGATTTGTAGTTTCCACCACAGCAGGAGTGCCGAGGATGCCTAAGCCCGTACTCATTTCTGCTCACTCACCGGCCACATCACGCAGAGCAGCGCAGGGGATCCCGTACTCCGCGCCGGCCATTGTCAGCGATTTATAACACGCCGTGTACACTGTACCTGTCAGGGGCTGCAGCTGTAGCAGAGAACAGCCCTCGGCAGAGTCCAGGACCTCATAGACTGTGTGCGTCTCCTTCACCTCCCTCCTCTCCACACTTCCTTTGGAGGGATCCTTCACAGGGACGACCTGCACACAAAGCAGAACCGGCGTCTACACGGCACAGAGAGCAATCAACTTCAATTCCCAGCCTGCAACTGTCACAAACGCCACCACTGATTGAGCGTGGAGGAGGGGGGGGTCTACTGCAAGGCAAACTAAGGATTTGCCTAGGGCGGCACTTTCCAGGGGGACGGCAGAAAACGCTGCCCCAAACCACTGAGGCGGACAGGGCCGGGCTTGTCTTTGGGCACTTGTGGGCGGCACAGAATCAGGCAGCGGCGGCGGCTGCCTAAGGAGGCAAACTAGGCTGCTGCAAGGCCCTAAGAGCGGCTGCCCAATTAGAGAGCTGCCCGGGGGAGGGGAGGGCCCAGTGAGATGCGGCCCGGCTGGCTTTGTACAGGAGGTGGAGGAGAAGCAGCGGGTGGCTCGGGGCTGGCCATAGCATGTGATCTGATGGAGGGATGTCCCAGAAGCAGGGGGGTGTCCTATTGGTACTGATGGCACTTCGAGCTGCAGGCAAGAGGAGCAGCACATGTATGTAGGGAAAAGGACTCTGCACAGCCCACCATAGACCCCGCACAGCTCTCCTGAGACCCCACACAGCCCTCCTGAGACCCCACACAGGCCTTATATCTTGTATCTGTTCCTCCTTCAGAGCTCCTCTGACATTCCCCTCCGCTGGGTCCGGCACCCCCAATGCGATCGCCCTGAAACATAAGAGGCCGTTACATGTCTTCATAGGATTCCTATAGTGGTCACATGACCAGTCTTAGGGGAGTGTAGGACATCATACGTTCTGCCCCCTCCATGCCCAACTCACACCAGACCAGTCACCCTGCACAAGGAGAGAGAGCAGCAGTGACCGGTCTTTATAAAGCTACGATCTGCCTGTCCAAGATGGGCAGATCGTACGTTTTTTAAAGTACTTTACAATCATCGCAAGACTAAGGTCTTGCGATGGGTGTAAAGTGTATGGCCACCTTTACAGGAGAGGGCGGATACAAGACCAGTCACCCTGCACAAGGTGCACAAGGAGAGAGCAGAAGCGACTGGTCTTCATTACAGGAGGGGGGCGGAGATAAGACCAGTCACCCTGCACAAGGAGAGAGAGAAGCAGTGACCGGTCTTTATTACAGGAGGGGGCGGAGACAAGACCAGTCACCCTGCACAGGGAGAGAGCACAAGGAGAGAGAGAAGCAGTGACCGGTCTTTATTACAGGAGGGGGCGGAGACAAGACCAGTCACCCTGCACAAGGAGAGAGAGAAGCAGTGACCGGTCTTTATTACAGGAAGGGGCGGAGACAAGACCAGTCACCCTGCACAAGGAGAGAGAGCAGCAGGGAGCGGTCTATTACTCACACTGGATTCCTGCACAGATCTGGAAGAAATACACAAAGCTCACCGAGATTCAGGGAAGAAGTCACATGACTCCTGTATGAGGACAGTATTTCCTCCTCCCGGGGTGCAGATTTAAGTGAAGCGGTCGCTTTGCCCTTCTCGGGTTCATTTTTGGATCGGCTCAGCGTCACATGAACTGCTTGGACACAAACCTACCAGAACGTCGTAAACGGTTTCTTTGCCTTCCGGCTCAGGGAATAAAAATCTTCCAAGTGCTTCGTTGTCACATGACAGGTGGAGAGGAGGACGAGCCCGGAGCAATCCCTACAGGAAACACAGCAAGAGACAAATGTCAGCCAATGAGAACCTAAATCTGACCCGGAATCAGCCTCTTGAAGTCCCTGTACAGCAGTGCTCAGACTGGGGGGGGGGAGCCAGTGCTGCACTGCTCATGTGCTAACAAGTAATAAGACCGCCACACGGTCAGTGACAGCCGGGACCACCATTGGGCTCAGCTCCTGCTAACCAGCACTTCATTGGAGCACCGGCAGCAGGCACAATGTGTATTAATGCTTCTGCAAGTTTATATAGGAGAGGTGACCAGGACCATAGGAGGGCCGTAAGAGGGGTGGCCAGTGCCGTAAGAGGGGTGGCCAGGGACGTGGGAGGGGTGACCAGGGACGTGGGAGGGGTGACCAGGGACGTGGGAGGGGTGACCAGGGTCGGCTGTCACCATAAGTGGGCGCGCTGTGGTTGAACTTGTGCAGTATGTGTGTGAATGACGGTCTTCCTGCCTGGAGAGGAATGCTGGGACTGGACCGGGATCAGCCCTGGAACGTGAACAGGGTGAATCTGTGGTGGGCAAACTCCGGCCCTCCAGCTGAAGTGGATCTACAACTCCCATGATGCATTGCAAGAGCAGGCATGACTCCCAGAGGCAGATGCATGATGGCATTTGTAGTTTCCGCACAGCTGGAGGGCTACAATTTGCCCATCCCATGTCCATGTCACACATCGCGGACCGGCAGTGTTTCAGTGCAATATTACGCACATGCGCAGACACCCCCCTTGGGTCTACCAGGGCCCGTAGAACCTGGCAGAGACCAGCGGCATTTCCACGCATGCGCAGCCACGCTGCATATCTCTCTTCCAGGTCTATGGGACTTGGCAGGAACTTGCAATGCGCGGGATCTCATTTCAAAATGGCGGCCTGGGAGCAGATGGGTGAAAAGAGAACTTCGGCTGCAATGAAGTCTACCAAGGGCTCCATGGACTAGTACAGGGGTAGGCAACCTCAGCGCCGCAGCTGTGGTGATTCTAGAAATCCCATCATGCTCCTGCCTCTGGGAGTCATGCCTGTGGCTGTCAGGGTATTCCAGGACACATGGGACTTGTAGTTCCACAAAAGCTGGCGCGCCGAGGTTGCCCACCCCTGGTATGTTTTCCTCATATAGGGACAATTATTATTCTAATATTATTATAAAAGCCAAAAAGTCACAAAAACGTGACACCATCCACGGGTACATATTACCCCATACGTACTTTGGCGCAGTTTTCACGACGTGCAGTTCGGGTTTAATCTGCAGCAAGCGCTGAAGATCCGGCAATAGAGACACCAGAGAGACCTCGGCATCCCCTGCAGATAGAGAAACATTGTGCCTGTGTTACATCATCGCAATACAGGGCGGGATCTGATTGAGCAATACAGGGCGGGATCTGATTGAGCAATACAGGGCGGGATCTGATTGGGCAATACAGGGCGGGATCTGATTGGGCAATACAGACGCTCCTCTAACCAGGGGCGAACTATAGTCATGGCAGCCCAGGCGGCTGCTATGGGGCCCTGGGATGGGAGGGGGCCCCCATTAGGTTGCAAGAGTAGGACTGGTTGCAGTTGCCGACAACTCTAATCCCCCGCAAAGTCTACAGTGTAGAGACGACTTCAGATGCACGAGAGGAGTCGTTAGGATCTCGGCATCATTAGCAGAGCTCAGAGAAAGGTCATCGGGCCCCCCAATCACATTTTTGCTATGGCCCCCCTGTAATCTGAAGTTACGGCCCTGCCTCTAACCCTCACATAGACCACTGCATGTCTCCCTATGGGGAGATTTACCCTCACTTCCTGTCTTGGGGAAACCAAAGAAGAGGGGGTATCCTATGTTAGGCTGGCCATCTACAGATCGATTTTTGGGGTGTTTCCTGCTGAATCAGCCAAAATTCAGTCCATGGGCGGCCCTGCCGGCCCCACTCAGCTCGGCAAAGGGCAACTATGTCTAGTTCAGCCCCCGAGGCTGAACTAGACACATCTTATGGTGGATGGCCGGCTGTAGACCCGTCCCCATTGGAGGATCCTACCCCACTTATTCCAGTGACAACTGTAACATTTTGGGTTTCCAATCACCCTCTAAGTGTCAGGGGTCACCAGGACACATAGAGAGGGCGAACCTCCCCAGGGAGGGCAGAGACAGCAATAACAGCCCCCAGGGGCCCGAGCAATCCACACTCCTTCCAAAAACACAAATCATAGGCTGTGAATACACTGTAAAGAGAACCTGTCACCACACCATTCACTCCAACATTGGTCTCTTCATCAAAGGGCACCTTCATTTCTATAGGCTGGTGACAGGTTCTCTTTATAGATTGCACACACACCAGAGATCTCCATTCTAATTGTATACAATGTGTGTACCTGAAATCGGCAATCCTTGTGGTTTGTTGATGGCAACGAGCGGACCTAAAAAAACCAGAACGAGTCTGTAGTCAGTACACAGAAAATAGAAAGCGTAATGTCATCAGCCCACGCCTGGCACGTCAGCCCACGCCTGGCACATCTACCCACGCCTGGCACGTCAGCCCACGCCTGGCACATCTACCCACGCCTGGCACGTCAGCCTGCAAATGGCACATCAGCCAACAAATGGCACGTCGGCCTGAAAATGGCACGTCGGCCTGAAAATGGCACGTTTGCTTACGAATGGTACATCAGTCCACGCTTGGCATGTCTGCCCACGCATGGTACATCACCACACGCTTGGCACGTCTGCCCACGAATGGCACATCACCACACGCTTGGCACGTCTGCCCACGAATGGCACGTCTGCTTACGAATGGTACATCAGTCCACGCTTGGCACGTCAGCCCGCAAATGGCACTTCAGCCCGCAAATGGCACGTCAGCCCACGTTTTGCATGTCAGCCCACACTTGGCACATCTGCCCATGCCTGGCACGCCAGCCCGCGAATGGCACATCAGCCTAATGGCACTACCACCATGAATGGCACGTCAGCCCACGCCTGGTACGTCAGCCCCTGAATGGCACATTTGCCCATGCTTGCCATGTCAGCCCACGCTTAGCTCGTCAGCCCATGTTTGGCACATCAGCCCAAAGCATTGTTGCCAATTTGAGCTTGCACAGGCCAAACCCTGCCCCCCATCTCTCCCGCCGATGTCAGCGCTCCCACGCCTGGTAGCCCGCCATTGTCCTCTGTCTGCGGCTCGGTTTACCTTCCCTGTAGACGACGTTCTGGGTCAGATTCTCGCACAGCTCTTCCTTGCTCAGTTTACCGACGGTGACTACCCCGGGGTTCCTCAAGATGCTGCGCCGGTCTTCTTCTACTCGTCTCTGGTGAACCTTCTCCGTCTTATCATCACTTCCTTCCAGGTGCTGGTACCTAATACACGGGAAACACAACAATGATACATATATACATGTGACAGAACATGTGCGTCATGACAACCTATAGGAGGCAGGAAAAGGACTGTCATACACCAGCCATAGGCAGAGCACAACGTTCAGAGTCACCCGCTGATCATACATCATACAATCTGATCCTTTAGATCTACCAACAACTATGTACTTCAAGAGCCTGTCTGATTGCATACATGAAGTAGGTCCTCATATAACCTGCAGCTGACTGTACAGAGATTGCAGGGTCAGATTGTAACACGTATGATGAACAATGAAGGTGATGGGCACCGTCCTCCCGTGTCACCTTCACACCCGGGTAACCAGGTCAATGGATATGGACTCACCATGGCACTGAGTGCTTCCTCCTCGTAGAAGGGATCTGCAGCCAGGCAATGTGACGGATCAGCCCACACACGGGTAGACAGGTCCTCTTGGGGATCACCATCGTCCAGGGGAGAGCCATCTCTGTATATCAGTGTCACATGACCTCCCTCTGTCCATCAGATGTCAGCACAGCTCTGCACATGCCGTCTGCCCGGGAGCTGACATCTTCCCCTCCACTGAGCATGCCCACACTGCCCCCAGAGCATGCTGGGAAATGTAGTCTTCAGTGGCTGCACACCAGGAAGATCAGTTTAGTAGTTGTCATGCCGGTGTTGTGTCGAATTTCGTTTCGCGTCGAGATCTGATTTTTTAATAAAGTCCTGGACAGCTCAGACCAATGTTCCTACACTAGATCCTGCTGGGACTTATAGTTCTACAAAACTCTACAGGACAGGGAGTCCCCCCTCCCCCAGCTCATGTTTAAAAGTGACTTGTTACTGATTTTGGGGAGAGCCGCCCTCAGCAGGGCTGCATTCATTATTATACAATTGGGGCAGTTGCCAGGGGTCCGTCAGGTTATCAGGGGGCCCCCCACACACAGTCCATCAATGTAATTATTGCAGTGGGCCCCTTCCTCCCAAAATGACTAAAGAGACGGAGCTTAAAGTGTATGTTAACCCAAGTTCTCGTTCACACTTTGGAGTTGAGTGAACGCGCGCCAAAGCACATGCTTTGGAGTGCGTTCACAGAACATATTAAAGACGGCAATGCGTTAGCGTTGCAATTACTTGTTAATGGCACCCCAAACGCGGCCGGTAAAATGCGCATCCACACGCAGGCAAAAACATGCATCAAACGCGTGGGGGAAGTAAAACCTGGGACGCTCGCCGCTGAAAATGCTGCATGAGCTACTTTCCTGTGTTTGTCACGCATGTACAGCCCATGCTTGCAGTGCCATTGCATGATAATGGCGCTCCAACTGCGACCAAGCAAACGCACCTTTTTCCA